CTGCCGCACACCTCTGCCAGTCAAACAATGGAGGCCACCTCTTCGTTTTATATATTGCTTTTATTAGTGTTTCTAGGTCACAACATAAACTTATACGATATTTTCAGGCGAGAATGTAGCTGTGTAAACTTCAAATATCTGCTTGTTTTATCAAGACATCCCATATTAGCAATAGTTCTCTTACGATGTTGCTGCTAGCCGGCTAGCTAGCTAGCGCGGCTAGCTAGCTAGCATGGCTAGTGCCGCTTCGCTCAAAAGCACCCGGGCTTGGCTTACAGTGAGGCGGCTCACACTCGTTTCACCCCCCGATCGCTCGCAAATAGTCGGTGTCTCAGCTGGACTTATTTTTCGTTTATATGGGCCGATGATTCATTTATTCATTTTAGTAACGGTATAAACAGTGAAAGGTGGTTGTCCAGATGCTGGTCGATGTGGGAAAATAACTGAATTGTTTCGTGGTGGCTAACGCGGAGCTCCAACAAAAGGCAGCTAGCCACCGGTGTATGACAGAACGGACATGCGGGAAAAAGACACATATGAGGCAGCGAGGCGGCCGCCGATCGACCGGTGGTGGTTAACGCGGAGCTCAAACAGATGGCAGCCATGGATCAGGGAAATTGAAGGCAGGAGAAGCAGACCCAAGGCGGCTGCCGGTCGGAGTGTCAGGTTAACTGAATTTCAGGTAAGAAGTTATGAACTGCACTCTATTTGGGGCAGATATAAACCGAGTTTAGGTGTAGTTTATTTTCGTTGTGCTGACTTTTTACAATCAGTTACAATAACTCGTACTGCGTGCTAGCTAGCACGATGGAATTTCTATACAGCTGTGTGCGCGCTAAGTTACTGATGTTGAACTTTATTTTATTCATAAGTTCGTAGAGTTGCCAACCGTTGCCAAACGTAATCATCCCGCATTCAGAGAAAATATTACGCGTTTTGTATTGAGCTGAAAAGGAACACAGTTTGTCCCGTACTTCAGGTAGAATGGAAGAAGACACAAAGCTGGATTTATTCTGTCATTACGCAGCCTCCCCGGTCATTCTCTCGCCTGTTGCAACTTCAATCATGAAACTGATCAATGATCGGCTTTTCTCTCTTGTTTGTTTATCGCGCTAAACAACAGCAGCACGTTTAGAGCCACAGCTGTAAAAGCGGCTGGTCGAAACCAGGAGATGTCCTTACTGAATCATCAGAGCTGAACTGGTGATGGAGAAACAGGTTTACCTTTTAGGTGACATGAATGAGTTGAAGGGAAGTTATGAACTGTTTCTGAGAGACAAATAACACCAAGCTCCTTTTCTGTGTACTGACAGCTAGTAACTGTGCTTTTGCCAGGGGACCAGGTAGGGCATTAACAGGGAAAGGGGGGCACAAAGATATACTTTTCTTTCTTACTCTCATATAAATATTTAGCTTTTATTAAATAGTTATCTGAATCTTACAACTAAAGTTTGTATAATAATACACACGATTGGCTGTAGACCGTTGTTAATCATTCAGAACACTGTGTAAAAATAACAAAAAGTGAATGCAAAAGTGCATAAATATTTATTTTACGTGTTTGATGTGTGTGGCGGGGCGTGGTTTGCAGTGACGCTGCAGGGGAGGTGGACCCACCTGAGCGGCATCTGCAATCACGCCTCTCAGGCGTAAAGTCTGTGCGCTCTTGGCTGTTATTTTGGTGTGTGTCGGGCTGTGAGATGAAAAGCTACAGCCGGCTGTGCAGGTACACCAACCAAGTAATGCTACAAAGCGTGTTTATGCAAACATTGTCGGGTCTGCCGTGGTACAATAGGACTTTTTTCTCTTTTTTTTTGTGTCCCGTTTGGATCTTTAGTCATCAGAATTGTTGTCTTAAGGCCAAGAAATATGCCAAGCGGATTTATTTTACCAAGTGGATCATCATGGCCTTGCCATATTGGTCCATTTGATTGACCTTTATTATAATTATGAATTAATTTTATTTTCGGTTGCTACAAATGGGACAGACATGACTGGGGGATAGGACAGGGAGAAAGAATGAAAGAAAGAGAGGGAGAGACAGCGCACAATGTGCTTTGAAGCAGCAGCCAAGAAAGGTGTAGTCCGCGTCTGTGAACACCCGTGCGTACACTTGTGTGCATACCTGGGTGGATCAGCATGCTTGTATTCCAAAGGTTTCTCCATGTAACGATTTGCTAGGGAGTGTGGGGAGCCATAGCCCCATCCCCCAGGGTATGAAGCAGGTATGGAGGAGATCCAGGCCCCAGATATCCAGAGGCCCCAGAGTACAAGGACCCGAGGACGACCACCAAAAGGGTGGGAACCGTGCCACCCTCCTGGGAAGAGCTGAGTAGAGCCCCAAACGAGAGGTCACCCAGCAGCTACGGAGCAGAGGCCAGAGGAGGTTGCAGTGGCGTGCCCGCGGGCTCTGCCGGCAGCCAGCTGTGCCAGAGAGGACCGAGCTTCAGGCCCAGAGGCCAGAGGCCTGAGGGCACCCCACCCCCGGAAGGGGCCCAGCCGGGCCACAGGCGCCAGGCCCCGCCAATCGGCCACCAGGAGTGAGCCGGTACATACATGAGCGCCCAGCCCCAGACGACAAGGACCACCAACACACCGACGTCTGCGTGCTTCATCCTCCGGCAGGGCAGGGAGTGTGGTGAGGGGAGCCTCTGTACTTTGGAGGGCCTGAGATGTACCCAGAGAGGTTGAGTCTAAGACCCAACCTGACATATAGACACAGACGAACAGGCGCACGTGGACACAAACGTGCATTCCCACCCCATATGCACAACCAAATGGGACAATGGGACTTCTGCTCATGAACCTCTCTGCACAGCGTCTGCAAATCGGGGCTGTACGAAGTCACCTCATCTTTACACAAAACTGTAAGCTGTCATCTGTGAGGCACGAGCGGGGTTTTTTTTTTACCGTAGTTCATGGTGGAGAATGGCTGCTCTGCTGAGTTTTGCTCTCTGTAGCCGTATGAATGGCAAACTACACTGATTAGCAGCGGCATAGGCACACTTAAAATTTCTTCTGAAATTTTCGCTTTCTAGTATATATCTAACATTACCCAGGATATAAATACTTTTAGCCAACTTAATATATTCAATATTAGATTTCCATGTTAACTTGTCATCCACTATTACACCCAGAAAACAGAATTCTGTAACTCTTTCAATTAATACTCCCTCTATAGATAATACTATCTCTTCCTCCTTTACACAATTTCTGAATATCATAAACTTAGTTGTTTTTTTTTTCCAAATTCAGTGATAACTTACTTACATCAAACCATTTTTTTTTTTTTTTCATTTCAATAACCATAATTTTAGCCAATTTTTTCAAGTTTTCTCCAGAACACTAAAAATTTGTGTCATCTGCAAACAAAACAAAATGTAACATTTTCAATACATCACAAATGTTGTTTATATATAAATTAAAAAGTTTTGTTCCTAAAACAGAACCTTGAGGGACCCCATATTCTATTTCATTCTTTCGGATGAATTACCTAAACACTGCACATACTGAAACCTATTATCTAAGTAACTGCTTAACCAGGTCAATACAATTCCTCTCACACCATAAGTACTTAACTTGGAAATTAAAATGGAGTGTTGCAGAGTGTCAAAAGCTTTTTTTAGATCAATGAATACCCCTATTGTATATTTATTATTATGTGTTCTAATGAAATGTCTTCAATTGTATTCATTAATGCTATTGCCGTTGATCTGTTTCGTCGAAATCCGTACTAACTTTCACTTAAAAGTTGATGTTTTTCAGTGAAACTATCAAATCTTTGTGCGAAGAGTTTTTCAAGCCCTTAAGAAAACTGTGATACCAATGATACCGGTCTATAATTATTAAAACTATGTCTGTCTCATGATTTATAAAGGGGGATAACGTTTGCCACTTTCATTCGTTCAGGAAATAAACCTGTATAGAACGAAAGATTAAAAATATAACAGATAGGTTTGATTATACAATCCAAGGTCTTTTTTACTATAACCATGTCTAACCCATCACAGTCAGTGGATGTCTTATTTTTAGATTTTGCTACAATAGCTATAATTTCTTTTTCAGTGATATCCCCTCAAAACATAGACTTTACCACTCTGCTATCTCCTTTCCATTCATCATTCCCTTCTGAATCATCCTGTTTTCTAATTAGGTTTGCCAGATTTCTCATAATTAATACTAACTTATTTTTATAAGCTTTATATTTCATTTCAGCAGGCTTTGTTCTAAGTTTTATATAATCTCTATACAGTTTATTTTTCTTTTTACATACATTTTTTAGCCATCTTGTTATCCATGGTTTACCAGTAGTTTTCTTTTTCTTTTGCTTATATAATACCAGTGGACACACAAATAACAACAGCTTAATTTTCTCTTCTTCAGTAAGTCTGGCCCATTAGCAAGCAGACTTCTACCATCCTACTGAAGAACTGTGAAGCAGGTTTGTAATTCCAAAATGAATAAATGCTGCTTTTACAATCACCTGGAATTGCTCTGTTTTGGCTTTCAGCTCATGTGCACCATTGATAAGCTACAATCAAGATCAGCAGCTTTCTAGCATCTATTTTTTATCAAGATTTGATTCTTCCTTTCACTCATTTTGTTTTCTCTCTGATCCTTATTTATCTTATCCTGCTTTTGCACAACTTCATCTGTTTCAATTTTCACTTTTTGCACTTGTGCTTACTTCTTTGAAATGACACATCTGCCATGTGCCACAGTGTTTTTCCCATACAGCTCCACGCCTTGGTGTTCCCCTGGGCAAGCTGGATGAGGTGACCAGGGAGAGGGAGGTCTGGGTTTCTCTGCTTCAGCTGCTGCCCCCCCATAAACACAAGAAAATGAATTGATGTATATTTTTGAGTGAAATGATGGCTGAAGTTAGATAAAGTTCTTATCTGCCTGCTAGTGAAATTGTGATTATTTTGGACTCAAAATTACATGTTTAATAAGTTAATAAGAAATGTTAATAAGAAAACACTTTTCAAATGGTTGCTGCAACTTTGCTATTTATTAGATAAATCAGATGCATACAATCATATTATGACTGCATTAGATATTGTCAGCTCATATGGCTGAAGCTATACAGAACAGTTTAAAACATCAACTGATTAAATTCCAACTACCAGTCTGAAAAAGACAGACATGTACAGACTGTTCAATGGTCAGAGTAAAGTATTTGAATTGGAGAGTTACAAGTATTTAGGGTGGTACTTGACCATAAACTGTGTTTTGAACCTCATGCTGATGTTGCTACTAAAAAAGTTCAGCAAAGACTATTCTTTTTCAGGAAAAAAAGAGCTAATCTGAGATGTTGTCCTTGTTTTACAGATGTTTTATTGAATCTCTTATGTCTTACTGTATTGCTGCTTGGTTTTGTATGACTGTGAAGAACAAGGATCGGCTGGGACTTTTGGTAAAAACTGCGAGCACAATCTCAGGGCATTGGCAAGATGGACCTTTGGCCATTTATAACAATAATATGCTTATGACGACTCATTATATTATTAATAGTTTTAACCACCTAATTCCAAGTGAGTTTTACTTGTTGCCCTCTGGCCATAATTTTATAAAACCTTTGAGGAAGACCAAAAGATTTCCCCTTGTGGGACAATAAAGTATTCGAATTGATTTGTTTCTCTAACAGGACACTCTTTACACTCAACTCAGCACAGACACACTGAGGACCCAAACCAGACTCTGAACCCAGGATAAAGAGGTTCAGTGAATGTGGTGTTGAAGGTGTGGAGGTGGATCAGAGTGTCAGAGGAGACTCTGTAGAAGGACAGAGTGCCAGCAGGACAGTCCACATACACTGCTACTCTCTTAGAGCCACAGGAGGAGGAGATGGATGATGTTTCATTATTATGCCAGACAGAACGAGGGCCATCATCAGAGCAGTTCAGACTCCAGGACTGGTCATTAAATCCAAACTCAGCATCTTTACTGTCTCCTTTCCTTCTGATTCTTCTGTAACTTACTGATATATAAACGTCTCCTCTCCACTCGACCTCCCAGTAAGAGCGACCAGTCAGACCATCTCTACACAGCAGCTGAGGCCAATAAATAAATCTGTCTGGATGATCAGGATATGACTGAACCTCCTCCACATGTGTCACCTTCCTGTTGTTGTCAGACAGTTTGAGGTTTGTGTGTACTGTGTTTGTGTCGATTGTGAGTTGACAGGAATCTGATGGAGAGAACAAACACAATCCAGCTGCAGTTATTGATCCATCATCTGTTCATTGATTGACACTTTGATGATGACTCCTGACATCCGAATGATGAAGATGGTTGAATGTGTGCTTCTTTGTTTTCATGAATCCCATTAAAAACACACTTACACTTCCTCAGACCTGGTCTCAGCCATCGGACTCCAGCAGGCTCCACCCTGAAAGGAGGAGGGAGTCAGAGCAGCACAGTCAGCATGCACACATGGACATTACATGGCTCTCATACACAGACTGTTAGACACTGATAAAGGAACAGTTTAACATTTTCACAAATTCACTTCAATCTATACGTGGATCAAACTGCTGATGATTTGGACTGATCCTGGATCTGTCAGTACAGCACTGTATTTAAAGAAGTTGTCAGGTTTCATGAGTGAGTTCAAGGCTGAGGGTGAATTCATGATTCGGTTTTGTTTTATGAAAAATGTACCCTACCTTTTGTTGATTATCATTTCTTTTTAGTTTCCCTTTCTAATACATCTCTGTGTCCATCTGTTTTCCCTATTTAGTTGTGTAAAGTTAGTTCATTCTCCCCAGTTGGACATGTCTCTATATTTGTTTTTACCATTTTGTCTATCTTTGTCTTTTCTCAGTTTTTTGTTTCCTTTTTAACTTTGATAGTCCTTCCTTTTGAGTTATGGTCAGTTTCTTTTTTCCCATTTTCCCATTATTTAGATTTTGTTCAGCTGTGATCCCCGCCTTTCCACTTTGCCCTCTTTTATATTATTATATGTATATTTAAGTCCTTGGTTTTCATCCCCTCATGCTGTGTGGTCTTGCCCTGTTTGATTTTCTCATTTGTGAATATCAGCAATTAGTGAAGCCTTGAAGCTTGTATTGAAAAAAGATTAATTACTCAATGGTTTTCAACACAGTCCTCTTTGGTGGCATTTGGTAGAAAATACGAAGAGTAGCTTTAATCTGGAAATTAAAACAAACTGTTTCACTATGATCACTCTGTCTGCAGAGCTCAGTTCATAAATGCTATTTAATATCAAGTGAAAATTCTGTGTGATAGCAGGCTGCCATTGTGGTGCTTTGAACATTTAATTTTGGGATGTGAAAACATAATGTTGTGACTATTTGATTAATAAATAATTTTGACGATGGTGTCTTCTCGCTTTACTTGTTAATTGCTAGAATTTGTAAACATAATAGATAAAGTACATTATATACAGTCCGATCAAAACTTTAAGACTTTGCAGGGTTGGATCTTAACAAGTTTATAAGCAGAGATGGGCAGTAACGCGTCACTTGTAACGCGTTACTTTAATCCGATTACTTTTTTCAAGTAACGAGTAAAGTAAGAGATTACTATTGCAAAAACGGTAATTAGATTACCGTTACTTTCCCATAGTATATATAGATAGATAGATAGATAGATAGATAGAT